GCACCTTATGGTTACAAGAGAATGGGTTTCATGATGTTGTTCAATCAGGTTGGAATTGATTTAGTTCAAAATCACTAAGTGGGCGCGAGCCATTCAATCTCCTTTGTTAGAAAAACTAATAGCATGAAAAAATAATAAGTCAATGGAATGGAATAAATAATCATTCGGTAACTAGAGAACGAGCTAGGGAGAAGAGAATTACAACTTCAAAAACTTTTCGATTCGCCAAACTCTAAGTCTCTCATGAATCAAATTAAACTTCTTGAATATGAGATTACCCAATTGAAGGCTTGCGAAGAAAGTTTCTGGAAACAACGAGCTCGTGTTGATTGGCTTAAGGATGGAGACTGCAATACAAGATTATTTAATTCAAGAGCTAAAGCAAGATATAAGACTAATCGTATTGAGAACATTAAGGACGAGTAGGGGCATTTGATCACCGACCAAGATAAATTCAGCAGCAAGCGACAAGTTTCATTACCATTTCTCTAGTTGTGAACCTCTTCCTTCAGACATTGAGTATATCACACGATCGGTAGAGGTTGTATTTCTTCAGACGACTATTCAATGCTTGATGCACCTTTTTCATTGGAGGAGGTTGAAAAAGTCTTGACGAGTATTGGTCCACATAAAGCTCTGGGTACTGATGACTTCCACGCAGCTTTTCTCCAAAACAATTGGGGCCTGATGCAAAATGATATTCTGGAAGCTTGTCTCAAGGTTCTTAATGGTGGAGAGTCGGTTAAGAAGATAAATAAAACTATTGTGGTATTGATCCCAAAAAATGAGAATCTGATGTATACTGATTTCCGTCCAATCAGCCTCTGTAAAGTTGTTTACAAAATAATCTCTAAGCCTATTGCGAACAGGCTGAGAAAGGTGTTAGGACCTTTAATTGCCGAAAATCAAAGCGCCTTTGTTCATGGACGATATATCACAGATAACGCTATATTAGCATTCGAACTTCTCCACTCAATGTCTAAAATATACTCTGGGAAGGCAAACTATATGACGCTCAAAATCGATATGAGTAAAGCATATGACTGGGTCGAATGGGATTTTGACGATGTCATGCTCTCTAAAAAGGGCTTTCCACCTCGTCTCAGGGCTCTCATTTTAATTTTACTTCATCAGTTAGCTTTTCCTTCTCGATCAATGGGGTCATAACAGACAAGGTGATTCCTTCTGGGGGGTTAAGACATGGATGTTCTTTGTCCCTTACCTATTTATTTTTTGTGTTGAGGGTTTTTTAGCAATCCTTAGGCGCGCTGAGACAACCGGAGAGTTAATGGGAATGTGTTGTAGGCGGCTCGGGCTGCAGATATCCCATCTTCATTTTGCTGATGATTCGATTGTCTTTTCGAAAGCCCAAAGCGTCGTCCATCAAAAATATTCTTCGAAGGTACGAGATCACCTCCGAAAAATAAAATAATTTGAAAAAAACTGCTATTACTTTTTCTCCAAATATTCCTCCTTCATCACGAAATGACATGTGGTCAATGTTCGACATTCTCAATCCTTCGCACAACACCTACCTAGGCCTCCCTTCAACGGTGGGGCACGATAATTTACACACATTTGCGACTATTCGAGACAAAGTGTGGAAACAATTACGAGGCTGGAATCGAAATCTAGTCTCTGTCGGCTGTCGTGAAATCTGAATTAAGGCAATGATTCAAGCGATCCCCACTTACATGATGAGTTCGTTTCGGATTCCAACATGAATTTTTTATCAGATTAAACGATTATGTGCCAATTTTGGTGGGGTTCTCGGGATCGTGAACTGTAAAATGACCTGTATCTCTTGGTCTAAACTATCAGAATCCATGTTTAATGGGTGAATGAAATTAAGAGATTTACAGTTTAATGAGTTGTGTATGTTGTAAATATTAAGTTGTGGACATTACCTAGATATAGGATTTGTAGGCATGGGCCAGGAGCCCATTAGGTATTTACTCATGTACATTATATTCCCTTATATATAGGGCTCAAGTGAATGAATAAGATGATGGTTTTAACGGCGTATCTCTTCTCTCTGATTCTCTTCTTCTTCTACTGTTTCTATCTTTGTCTATTTTACACATAGATTACATATTGTCAATCTATATTACAACACGTTATCAGCACGAGTACTCTACCATCTAAGCGAACGGCGGCAACATAAAGATGATCGTAGATCAACATCATAGATGAACAAAGAAGGACTATAAGCTGGATTCTTGTAAGTTCTTATGTGCAATTTAATTTATGCAAAGATCCATATTCTATGAATTGATTCGATCATAATCGTTTCTTATTGTACTGGGTGCTTTGGTAATTTCGTACGTATATTACAGTCTGTATCTATGTTGATGCCATTATACCATCGAACTGTTCATTAAATCAAACAAATTGGTTTGAATGAATTGAAGTAATCATGACTCAGTTTGAGTATTTATTTGTTTTGTGGGCCTGCAACTATGATTTTATTGTCGTAGACTAGCAATTGGTTTTGAATTATTTACTGAAAGTTTCATAAATTGCATGTGAAGAATCCAATTGTGCAACATACATTACTGAAAGTATTATTGATTGGTTTATCAAATATTGATTGGTGTATGTTGGGGAATATTCGCCAGGTTTGAATAATTATTGTTTTAATTAGATTCTTAAACTAATTAAAGTTAATTGATTTGTGCATTAAGATTTGCTGCCAATTATTTGTTTCCTACTAATTATTTGTTGGCAATTATGACTGTGATTTTTATGAATTGGCCTGATGACCCTGATTGGATTTCTATAGATGTTGTATGTGATAATTAGTCATTATTGAACTATCGTATGTTCGTTTAGAAATTATAGACTAAAGGATGTATTATATAATCTGCAAGATTTTAGCTTCACTGTCATGATTTGAAAAGTATTTGTGTCTAATGTTTTTAGTGCTACAAAAATTCATGTGATCTTATAAGTATGTCTATTTTGTATGAGAGAAAGATTATATATAAAAAGTGGTGGAAATATTGAATATAAATTATTTATGTTGTATAGCTCAATTTATGATCATCTTTATAATATGGTTGGATTAGAAGATAAAATTGTGCAATTATGAAATAGTGCAATATTATTAGCGAATATCTATCTATCCAAATTTATAAGGTTCAATTGAATACTAGTAGTCCCAGAAGGACACTAATATTAAATATTGATAGATAGAATAATTAGAACAATGTTTTACTTGTCAATAACTTGTAAGTCGACAACGAATTTCTTATACACTCCCTGAAGGATCTTTTACAAGTTAACGATAATGTTTTATATACTCCCCGATGGATCATCATCGACGTAAGTATCTCCCATAAATTCAAAATAAAGTTTTGGTATACTCCCTGCAGGATCAACACCAATACAAGTATCAAAATAAAATAATGACTACACTGTGAGTAAATCTTGATGACTAATTTTGAA